AAAATACATCAGAAAACGTACTTATCTAGCGGTCATAAACACAAACAAACATTTACAAATGGGCGTTTGTTCTCTTGTCAAAGGCAAAGCAAATCGAAGCAGCCAATCAGAAGGCGCTAAATTCTTCGCTATGTTATACCGTTTGGGAAAAAAAATTTCGCTGCCTGGCCTGGGGCCGGTTTTACATGTTGCTGTGTGCATGTTGTGTGCAGGACTATACACTGATTGTTCCATTCGCATTGTGTTTTTTTCATTCAAATCTCGTCGCAGCAAGGCAGCTTAAGCCCGGCGCACATTGTCGAACATTTTGCTCAAAAACATTATCGTAGGAATGTTTCATGAAATGTTCGGCAATGTGCGGTGAAAAAAGTCGCCGAACATTTGTTCCGAACAATGTTTCTGAAGATCGGAAATGTTTGATATCTCGAACATTGTTCGTCGAATGTTCGTCAATGTGCGCTGAATGTCGAACAATTCTAGGAACATTTGTAAAGTAGTAACCAATAGCAGCACGATATGTGGTCACATGATTTTTGTGCCCAATCAAGCGCCGATCACGTGACTCTTTACAACACAGCTACTAGACGGCGCCACAAGATTGTTCGCTGCAAAATGTTCGGCAATGTGCGCTCAGCAATTGTCCACCCGCACATTGCCAGACAAAAACATTTGTTCGGACAAACATTTGTTCGGGAAAATGTTCGGCAATGTGCGCCAGGCTTTATGTCTGAGTAAAACAATGCAAGCGACGGGTGGAAACAGAAAAATATAATTATGTCTTACTCTAGACATTTAATAAAAAAAACTTGCCCTATTTTCAGCACCCTGATTTCCTATTCATAGTTCGTTTGTTCCTTTTGACAACTTGAAAAAGTGATTCAAGAGTCTCCTATAATGTGTTCAGAATAGCTTAGAATGCACCAAATTGCACCTTTTTTATTTTTTTATTTAGGGGGAGCATGCCCCCGGACCCCCTTAGCATGGCGATGACCTACGCTCCTCGCATTGCTCGCTCCTCTGTTTGCTAATTTCAATTTCAGCTGAAAATTAAATTCTCCAATCTTATCCCTGTAAACACAGACCACGTTTTGAAATGTGCTTGTGATGTGCATATAATTACAAAGGTCTCAATAATTGTTTGGAGCATAGCACTGCCAGCAGCAAAGTGAAACATGGTTAACGAAGTTTTGTGCAGAAGGTCGTAGAAGTTTCATTAAAAAAACGTTGTAGGACGGTGTCAGAATTTCACAACTCAAATGCGGTTGTAGTGTCAAGTTAAAGTCAAGGTGAAATCAAGATTGGGAAAAAAACTTATTCAATTTCATTTTTCCTTTACGCCTTGACGTGTCTGTTGCTCTGGGGCTATTTGTATTCCATGCACATGAGAGGCGGGGAGCCAATCTAAATGTGATACACATCGCGGATGTATCAGGCATAGGCAATCATGTGGTAGCATATGAAGTTCTCTCTGTGCAGGTGAACTCGACAGTCGATCATGGACGAACAGTACAGCACTGATGACATCGAGCTCACCACAGTTGATGATGTCGGCGATGGACCCACAGACGGTTACTATGGTGAAGACAATCCATCGTCAGATTCATTCAACGACGCTGACCACCGTAACGACAGCACTGTGGTTTACGTTCCTAGTGGACGCAGTGTCAGAGTAGACGCAGGCAACGGCAAAACTTCAGATGGTGCACACGAGATGATTCATTTAGAGGTGCCAAAGGTGGAGCGTGATGATACTGTGAGCACAATCTCGGGTGTAAATTACACCCAAAGTAAGTGAGAGCTAGGTTGTTTCTGCACAGTTTTTACGGGGATAGGTTTGTCATTGTCACGATTATGGGAGCGTGTGGCTGTTCACGTGTAATGACATATATATATATATATATATATATATATATATATATATGCTTGGTTACACACAGTAAAAATAAATGAAATAAGTCAATAAGCTAGGATAAATACCTAATAATAGGGATGCAGTTTATATTTATTTTCATTATTCATTTGCAGGTAATAATTAAGTGACGTTGTTAGCTAAAAAATAGCACTAACTTTTAAATGTGCCACCCTAGAATTTGTGAATCTGTAGTACATAAATTATAATGCGTTGTGATGCGTTCTCAGGTGAAAATACAGATGATATTGATAGTGAGGTTCGGCGAGTTCGGCTGATGTATGCAAATCATGAGGTAAGACGTACATTAATTGCAGATACTTTTACTATACATACAGCTACTAGGTACATAGCTTTCAGATACATGCTTTACGTGCTTGGATAATATCAAGAGCTAATAATACCTAGAGTGTACAACGGAAAAACGGGAAAATAGTGCTATTTCACGACTACATTATTCTACTTTGCCTGCGAGTCTAGAATAATTTCATGGTATTGCATTAAGCAGAATTC